ACTAAAAAAAGTGACAAAAATTCAAAAAAAAAGTGATAGAAATTTTTAAAAAGTGACATAAATTAAAAAAAGTTACACAAATTTAAAAAGTGACCGACAATAAAAAAATGTGACAAATTCAAAAAAGCGACAAAAATTGAAAAAAGTGACACAAATTAGGGGGGAAAAAAAAAGAGCAATCTTCTTCCTTGCACTCTCAACTGAATCACTACCGTGAATTACATTACTGCAAAACGTTATGAATTTTTAGGCAATACGCATCTGCCTAGATGACATTACTAATTAAACAAAATAAAATTCTTAGTCTTATTGACACAACTAAGAATGAGTCTCTCTAACATGTCAATGTTGATGGTATAATCAGAATAGCAGACCCAGCTGAGCTGACATCTCCAATAATCTTCTTGTTAGTAATCACCACGTTCTTTCCCTTCCATGCCATTCCAACGAAAAAGTCTGAGATAATGTAATCGACAAGCTTATTAACTAAGGGTTTTGCAGATAAATCAGCATGGTGCTTCTCAATAAAAGGGCAATCCACAGTGATGAGGTTCAAACCTTTATCCACAGAAAAATTCATAACAACGAAAATCATAAGTAGAAAATAAGTCAAGGTTTTTAATATTGTCACTAAGAGCATGTTAGAATAAGCCTAGAAAATAAGCAAGCTTATTTTTACAAAGTAAATTACAATTAAAAAAATTAAAACATGCCCACAAATTAAAACAGCAACCACATCAATTTCAGTGGCGACAATTAATTTTTGGCCACCACGTGAAGATCTCTAGGATAAAAGTTTCGAAAAAACACATGTTTGGAGACCTAAGGAAGGGTCCTCGATAATTGTTGGCTATCAAAAGATCACCTCTCACTCTTCTAGTTCTCGTTAGCTCAGCAAAGGCAAGAGATTACCAATTGTTTGAAGACCCATTGCTGGAGACCCAAGTATGGAGCAATAAAGAAGATGTTTCTTCTGAAAACGAAAATGCTGGTGACTTACATTCAGGAATCCGGCTATCAGAAAAAAGGAGATGGGTATAAAACTGCAGGGGATTCTATTAACTCCTTCACCGAGACATTGGATGAA